AGCACCACCAGCTCCAGCAGCTCCAGTAACTCCAGTACGAGCACCTCCGGGACCAGCGGCTCCAGCACCTCCAGCACCTCCAGGACCAGGGCCTCCAGCGGCAGGCCCCCCAGCTCCATCAGCGCCTCTCTGAAGACTCCAGCGCCGAGCAAACTACTCGCGCAGCTGCGGTGGAGAGAGAGGCTCCCGCTGTGACGAGGCACCCGGAGAACCTCCAATACCTCCAGCACCTCCAGGACCAGCAGCTCCAACACCTCCGGCAACTCCACGACCAGCAGCTCCAGTGCCTCCAGCTCCAGGGCCTCCAGCGGCAGGCCCCCCAGCTCTAGCAGCGCCACTCCGAAGGCTCCAGCGCCGAGCAAACCACTCGCGCAGCTGCGGTGGAGAGAGAGTCTCCCGCCGTGACGAGGCACTCGGAGAACCTCCAGCAAACAAAGTACCTCCAGGCACAACACGCTCAGGCTCAGCACCCCCAAGCTCAGCACCCCCAGGCTCCGCACGCTCAGGCTCAGCACCCCCAGGCTCCGCACCCTCAGACTCAGCAACCCCAGGCTCAGCACCCCCAGGCTCCGCACGCTCAGGCTCAGCACCCCCCGGCTCCGCACGCTCAGGCTCAGCACCCCCAGACGCAGCACCCCTAGCAGCACCACCCCCAGCAGCACCAGAGTCGACAGCGACCTCGACAGGCTCGACAGGGTCTACCTGAGACACACCTGAGGGAGCAGGACCCTGAGGGGGGAGGGGGTCTACCGGAGGAGGACCTGGTGCGAGGAAGAGCGGCGGGGGAGGGGAGAGGAGCAGTGCGGTAGGGGAAGAGACGGTAAAAGAGAACCGACTCGTCTAACGTGACGTCCTGAGAGAGCAGGACACGGCGCAAGGTGGGGTGGTAAAACTGCCAGCCAGGCGCGTCAGGGGGGAAGCCAAGGAAGACGTAGGGAATGGCGCGGGAGGAGAGCTTGTCCGCGGACGTATCGCGGACAAAGGCACGAGAGCCCCAGACCCGGAACAACGACGCATTGCCAACCTCCCCCGTCCAACGTAGTATCGGCGAGGTCTCCGGCAAGGAGACACACGGCCAGAGGTTGAGCTGATGCGCAGCGTACCGGACCGCAAACAGCCACAAAAAATGGGGGGCAGCCGCATGGATCATGGAGGTACGAGCAACCTCCATGACTAAGCCAATGCAGCACTCAGCAACCCCATTCTGCTGCGGAGAGGCCGGAAGCGTGAACGACTGGCGAATGCCCTCCCCACGACAAAATTCCCGCAAGAGGTCGGAGGAAAACTCACCACCTCTGTCAGAGTGCAGACGCATGACAGGAAGGTCCTCACGAAACCGCTCGCGGAGCTGGAGACGGACAGCGCGGATCCAAGGGATCAAAACATCAGGGACCTCCCCCTTGCTGCGCAAGGGGAAGACCGTGGTGTAACACGTGTAGTCATCAACAACCAGCAGAAAGTAGCGCTCGCAGCCCTGTCCACGGACGCGGCTGGGCCCCACACGTCCATGTGGAGAGTCTGCAGGGGAGCAGTCGTCGGGGGAAACGAGGAGGAGTGAGGAGCGGCGCGCTGCCGCCCCTCGACACAAAGAAGGCAGGGAGGGGCAGGCGAGGGTGGGAGGGGAGGCAGAGACGTGGGAAGACCAGAGACAAGGAGACGGGAGTGCATGCCACGGAGGCGCTGCACTGAGGGGTGACCAAGGCGGTGGTGCCAAAGGAGGGTCTAGTGCGACAGGGCGCGACACGAGCAGGGGGCCGCTAGCTGACCTGACGCAGACGCAGACGCAGCTACCTGAGGAGGCTCAGTAGTCAGTGTGTACAGACTCGACCCAGGCCGACGGGTGAACGTGGCCAGGTGCCGGCCAGTCCGGAAGCACGTACAGATCGCCACACGCTGCCCTCCTTGAGTAAAGGTGTCAACCCATACATCCTGAAGGACGGTGTTGCTCACCAATTTCGTAGAGAACAAGGGGAGGTGAAGACCTGACAGTGAGCCAGACGGAACCGCCGGACACGGGAGAACAGTGGAGGAACGTGCAAGGACTGGGCCCCCAGAGGGGTCAGCCAGAGAGACAGCAACAGGTGCAGGGAGCGGTGTGACTGTGGTACTGTCGCGAAAGAAACAGCGGGAAGAACCTGAGTCAAGCGTGAAGGTGTGCAAGGCCGCAGCAGGCGCAGTTCCAGAGAGAGCAGACTCACTAGCACCTAGAGCAACAGCCTCTATACCTGGGTCGGGCGGCACACACAGGGAACAGTCACCCTCAGCACTAACAGTCAATGCATACATGGCAGTAAGGATAGCATCATAGTCAAGAGCAAAGATATCCACACTCTGCCTAAGCAGCTCCAGCCAGCGGGGGAGCTCAGCCGCGTCGCCAAACTCTGCACGCCAGGCGTCGCTCAGACAGGAGAAGCAGCGGGACTGTGTGTGACCAACTGTCCCGCAAGTCTGACCAGCCCGATCACCTGTGCGAATGACGTACTGGCAGCGAGCAGTACTCCGAGACGCTCCATGCTGAGCGTACCACTCACGAAGCTGCTGGGGCATAAGGGTCTCGTGCGGACGCCGCTGCAGCTGCATCTGGCCATCGCCAGAAACTCCCCACTGAACAGCTCCACGGCGACTGCCACTACGGCCGCCGCCACTACCCCAACTAGCGTACCACTCACGAATTTGCTGGGGCGTGAGGGTCTCGCGCGGACGTCGCTGGAGCTGCATCTGGCCACCGCCAGAAACTCCCCACCGAACAGCTCCACCGAGACTGCCACTACAGCCGCCGCCACCACTCCCACTGCTGCCACCACTGCCACCACCACTCCCACTGCTACCCCGAAGACACGTCATAGCGGGCAAAGCAAGGAGGTGTGCGACCAGCACGGTAGCACGCAGGGAAGGCAGGGCGCGAGCAGGCACTAGGGTAGGTCGGGCGGCGCGCGGCCTGAGCAGGGCGGCGCAATTGGCAGGGCAGGGCGGTGCAATTGGCAGGGCAGGACGACGGCCAGCAGGGCGGCGCGCAGGCAGGGCAGGGCCGGGCGGCGGCCAGCAGGGCGGCTCGCGAGCAGGGCAGGGCGGGCCGGCGGCAAGCAGCGCGCGGGCAGGGCAGGGCGGCGCGGCGGCGAGAAGCTCGCGGGCAGGGCAGGGCGGCGCGGTGGCACGTAGCGCGCGGGCAGGGCAGGGCGGCGCGGCGGCGAGCGGCGCGCGGGCAGGGCAGGCGGCGCGGCGGCGAGCAGCGCACGGCGCGCGGGCAGGGCAGGGCGGCGCGGCGGCGAGCGGCGCGCGTGCAAGGCAGGGCGGCGCGGCGGCGAGCGGCGCGCGGGCAAGGCAGGGCGGCGCGGAAGCGAGCGGCGCGCGGGCAGGGCAGTGCGGCGCGGCGGCGAGCGGCGCGCGGGCAGGGCACGGCGGCGCGGCAGCAAGCTGCGCGCGGGCAGTGCAGGGTGGCACGGCGCGGCGAGGAGCAGCGCGCGGGCAGGGCAGGGCGGCGCGGCGCGGCGACGAGCGGCGCGCGGGCAGGGCAGGGCGGCGCGGCGCGGCGACGAGCGGCCCGGCGCGGCGACGAGCGGCGCGGCGCGGCGACGAGCGGCGCGCGGGCAGGGCAGGGCGGCGCGGCGCGGCGACGAATGGTGCGCGGGCAGGGCAGGGCGTGCGCGAGCGGCGCGACGCGGGGCAGGGCAGGGCAGCGCGGCACTAGCAGGGCGGCGCGACGGGTGGGGTAGCGCGACACGGGCAGCGAGGTATACGGTGGGCCCAAAAAAAAAAACCGGTCCTAGGAGAGGACCTGCTCTGAAACCATGTCAGAATAATGAACGAGTATGGTGAAACTAACAGCATGCAAGAGTACAAGTAGCAAACCCTAATTGGGTTGTACCCCATATGGGCTACCCCACCATAGCCTACACAACATGATAGTTTGACAAAATTGTGATAGACGATCGAGCCCCGTTGTGTGAAGGTCAACTATACTCCTCTAAGCATTTTTTGTACGAAGCACTAGAAGACTATTCGGTAGCTTGCAACTTCGGATTTAGGGTTACGAGGAGTAGGCGAAACAGAGTCCAAGCCATGTGCATGAGTCAACATGAGTGTCTTAAACCAGCGTGCAGGTGGCGGTGTGAGTACTCCACTGACGGAGTGGGTGGGTTTTGGCGTGTTGACAAACTGTCCGCCCCATCATCTCATTGCTGCTCACCCGTTGATCAGGAGCGCTACGTGAAGCATACAACAAATAAAGTGTCATATCTACAGCGTCATCATGGCAACCTTGTCCATGCTGCACCACATCACCCTCCCGGGACGTACAAGGATCAGATTGCGTCGACCGGTGGTCTGGATATCAATTATCACCAATCATGGCGGTACGTCTCAGAACATTCTCTCCATATGGCTTCCATTGTCACATGCACATTCTTAAGCACACCATTCACCTTCTGTTTTCTCAACGTGCCTATCGTTTCTCGCACATCGTCATCCGTCATTGCAGGCTCAAGGAAAATATGCTGAAGGAGCGCTTTGGAGATTGGAAAACTTCTTTCCGCTACATTCCTCGGGTGTTGGAACGGTTCAGAGAGATTGACCCTGATTCAACGCTCGACCTTGTGACGAGGGATCACGCTTTCTTCCGGGCTTTTGCCGGCCCATCGGCATCAAAAACTGCTCTAAGGTTCTGCCGACCGGTCATTGGTATGGATGGTACATTCTCATTCGGGCGCAGCGGGCTACGCTCTTGGTTGCGGCTGCTAAGGATGGAAACAACCAGCTTGTTCCACTCGCTTACGGTCTGTGCGAGAGCGAGAATAAAGACAGTTGGAAGTGGTTTTGTGAGAACTTGTTGAAGCATTTTCCTTCGTGGCCGGCTACCCAGAATGCCTCCCTTATCAGTGATCGTGATAAGGGGTTAATACCGGCGGATAAAGAAGTGTTCCCATCCCAGTTCCCCCACTACTTTTGCAGCTGGCATTTGGAGCAGAATGTGCTGAAGTTTGGCCCTAACGCCTCTGAACTCTTCAAGAAGCTCGCAAACTGCCGCACCAAGCAGAAGTTTGGCAAACTCGTGAGGAGATGCCGGGCCCAGTGCGCTGCAATGGCGAACTACCTCTTTGGGGTCGAAGAGGCCCGTGCGTAGCAGACCCGTGGCGGACGCGGAGCTGACCATGGTGCAAGGGAGTCAGAGGCCGGGGATGGGTTACGGAGCCGGACGGGTGCGGCACAAAGAGCCAGAATGGCAAGGATGGAAGTGCGGCGGCAAAGGAGGAGTGGTCGCAGGGGAGAGCAGCAGACACCATCTCGGCAGCCACCATCTCAGCAGCCTCTATCTCAGCAGCCACCATCTCAGCAGCCACCATCTCAGCAGCCACCATCTCAGCAGCCACCATCTCAGCAGCCACCATCTCAGCAGCCACCATCTCAGCAGCCACCATCTCAGCAGCCACCATCTCAGCAGCCACCATCTCAGCAGCCACCATCTCAGCAGCCACCATCTCAGCAGCCACCATCTCAGCAGCCACCATCTCAGCAGCCACCATCTCAGCAAGCCACCATCTCAGCAGCCACCATCTCAGCAGCCACCATCTCAGCAGCCACCATCTCAGCAGCCACCATCTCAGCAGCCACCATCTCAGCAGCCACCATCTCAGCAGCCACCATCTCAGCAGCCACCATCTCAGCAGCCACCATCTCAGCAGCCACCATCTCAGCAGCCACCATCTCAGCAGCCACCATCTCAGCAGCCACCATCTCAGCAGCCACCATCTCAGCAGCCACCATCTCAGCAGCCACCATCTCAGCAGCCACCATCTCAGCAGCCACCATCTCAGCAGCCACCATCTCAGCAGCCACCATCTCAGCAGCCACCATCTCAGCAGCCACCCATCTCAGCAGCCACCATCTCAGCAGCCACCATCTCAGCAGCCACCATCTCAGCAGCCACCATCTCAGCAGCCACCATCTCAGCAGCCACCATCTCAGCAGCCACCATCTCAGCAGCCACCATCTCAGCAGCCACCATCTCAGCAGCCACCATCTCAGCAGCCACCATCTCAGCAGCCACCATCTCAGCAGCCACCATCTCAGCAGCCACCATCTCAGCAGCCACCATCTCAGCAGCCACCATCTCAGCAGCCACCATCTCAGCAGCCACCATCTCAGCAGCCACCATCTCAGCAGCCACCATCTCAGCAGCCACCATCTCAGCAGCCACCATCTCAGCAGCCACCATCTCAGCAGCCACCATCTCAGCAGCCACCATCTCAGCAGCCACCATCTCAGCAGCCACCATCTCAGCAGCCACCATCTCAGCAGCCACCATCTCAGCAGCCACCATCTCAGCAGCCACCATCTCAGCAGCCACCATCTCAGCAGCCACCATCTCAGCAGCCACCATCTCAGCAGCCACCATCTCAGCAGCCACCATCTCAGCAGCCACCATCTCAGCAGCCACCATCTCAGCAGCCACCATCTCAGCAGCCACCATCTCAGCAGCCACCATCTCAGCAGCCACCATCTCAGCAGCCACCATCTCAGCAGCCACCATCTCAGCAGCCACCATCTCAGCAGCCACCATCTCAGCAGCCACCATCTCAGCAGCCACCATCTCAGCAGCCACCATCTCAGCAGCCACCATCTCAGCAGCCACCATCTCAGCAGCCACCATCTCAGCAGCCACCATCTCAGCAGCCACCATCTCAGCAGCCACCATCTCAGCAGCCACCATCTCAGCAGCCACCATCTCAGCAGCCACCATCTCAGCAGCCACCATCTCAGCAGCCACCATCTCAGCAGCCACCATCTCAGCAGCCACCATCTCAGCAGCCACCATCTCAGCAGCCACCATCTCAGCAGCCACCATCTCAGCAGCCACCATCTCAGCAGCCACCATCTCAGCAGCCACCATCTCAGCAGCCACCATCTCAGCAGCCACCATCTCAGCAGCCACCATCTCAGCAGCCACCATCTCAGCAGCCACCATCTCAGCAGCCAACCATCTCAGCAGCCACCATCTCAGCAGCCACCATCTCAGCAGCCACCATCTCAGCAGCCACCATCTCAGCAGCCACCATCTCAGCAGCCACCATCTCAGCAGCCACCATCTCAGCAGCCACCATCTCAGCAGCCACCATCTCAGCAGCCACCATCTCAGCAGCCACCATCTCAGCAGCCACCATCTCAGCAGCCACCATCTCAGCAGCCACCATCTCAGCAGCCACCATCTCAGCAGCCACCATCTCAGCAGCCACCATCTCAGCAGCCACCATCTCAGCAGCCACCATCTCAGCAGCCACCATCTCAGCAGCCACCATCTCAGCAGCCACCATCTCAGCAGCCACCATCTCAGCAGCCACCATCTCAGCAGCCACCATCTCAGCAGCCACCATCTCAGCAGCCACCATCTCAGCAGCCACCATCTCAGCAGCCACCATCTCAGCAGCCACCATCTCAGCAGCCACCATCTCAGCAGCCACCATCTCAGCAGCCACCATCTCAGCAGCCACCATCTCAGCAGCCACCATCTCAGCAGCCACCATCTCAGCAGCCACCATCTCAGCAGCCACCATCTCAGCAGCCACCATCTCAGCAGCCACCATCTCAGCAGCCACCATCTCAGCAGCCACCATCTCAGCAGCCACCATCTCAGCAGCCACCATCTCAGCAGCCACCATCTCAGCAGCCACCATCTCAGCAGCCACCATCTCAGCAGCCACCATCTCAGCAGCCACCATCTCAGCAGCCACCATCTCAGCAGCCACCATCTCAGCAGCCACCATCTCAGCAGCCACCATCTCAGCAGCCACCATCTCAGCAGCCACCATCTCAGCAGCCACCATCTCAGCAGCCACCATCTCAGCAGCCACCATCTCAGCAGCCACCATCTCAGCAGCCACCATCTCAGCAGCCACCATCTCAGCAGCCACCATCTCAGCAGCCACCATCTCAGCAGCCACCATCTCAGCAGCCACCATCTCAGCAGCCACCATCTCAGCAGCCACCATCTCAGCAGCCACCATCTCAGCAGCCACCATCTCAGCAGCCACCATCTCAGCAGCCACCATCTCAGCAGCCACCATCTCAGCAGCCACCATCTCAGCAGCCACCATCTCAGCAGCCACCAATCCAACAGCCCCATAGGGACCGTGGTTTCGGACCCATGCCAACTGCAAATCAGACTCTTGGCCGCCCCTTTGAGCTACGGCCTCAATCTACGGCTGGCGACAACGTTCATCCGTCTGATCATGTGACAGCAACACCATCCGAGCTCCCTTCGTATGCAGGCGAGTATGTGGGAGATATCCGTACAACCATGTCCGACAGTCAAGCGGGGGACGATACCACAGCAAAAGTGTTCAATGAGCACTTCGACGTGGAGGATGGGAGCCAAATCAGCTGCGGGGAGGAATCGGAGGATGATGAATTTGAGGAGTGTACAGACATGGGCCACTGCTCACATGCCAACACTACTACATCTCAACAACTATCCACCACAGCAGCGCAACAAGCGACCATGAGACGCCAACGACGGATGGAGATTATTAGGGGGAAGCGGAATGCAAGAGAGGGAGGTGCAAGAGGTTTAGAACGCGCCGAATCACCAGGAGCACAGCTCCCAACGCAAGGGAGTCAAACTGTCCGTCAGCCAACACCGCAGCAGGGTGTTACCCAAGCCATGGGTTGGGCCAACGAAGCCACAAGGGTTGCGGACGTCAACCACACTGTAGGGACGGGATTGGGTGGGTTGGGCAGTGCGGTTGCTGAGCAAGAGGACAGTGACAACATGGAGGAAGGGGCGGGTATTATTGTTCGCACGGGCCAGGATGGACCGAGATATAAGAGGAAAAAAGAAAATCACAGTCTTCATCAAGCAATGGGCACGGTGTTATGCCCCCACCTGTCGGTTTGGCATCTACAGCAGCCAAATGGTGGAGTCCATTAACAACGCTATCAAGAAGATCCGTATCTTGCCTAAATCCTACGTAATGGCGGGCATGTGAGATTGGATGGCAAAGATGTACTCGGATGGGCAGCGGAAGTCTTCAAACTGGCAGCATGCACTGACGGTCGAAGCTGAGAAGCGGTTCGAGCTGAAAAAAAACCGAAGCCGAGGTTACAGAGTCACCCGTAACGGTCCAAACGAGGCAAGGGTTCGGAACAAGGGGAGTGTTTTGGATCAACGGCCTCTCTCCTTCAACAATGATGTGGGAGAGAGATTGTGCGAGTGGTATTGGAAGACGGAGAACTGGAGAAGGACTTACGTGACGCTCATTCCGTATTCGTGTGTAGACACTGTTATTGCGGAAACCGAGCCGGTTGAGGAGGGAGTTTGTGATGCCCCTGTTTTTGTGCAAAGAGGATCAGGGCGGCCACAATCTAACCGAAGGAGGGAAGCGCCAAAACGGACATACAAGTGTGGCGACTGTGGGTCGACTCAGCATACCAGGAAGAAGTGTAAGGGAAAATATGGGGGGTCAGGGGTGTATAATGTAGCAAACTAGTGGTATGGGGAGCGAGAGATTGCTGAGTGTTGACTACTAGGGAGTGTGGTAAGCTGCATGTTCTTTGCTTCTAGATAAATATAGGCGACCTTTTGACAGTAGGCAACAAGTAGTACATTAATGATACCCCATATGACCGGTCATATACACTACGCTCTCGACCAATAAAATACCCACGAACAAATGACCGGCCATATACAGCAGCCCCATTTGACCAGTAATACACACACGAACAAATGACTGGTCATATACACCCGCGCATATGACCGGTCATATACGCACGAGCATAAGACTGGTCGAAATCCGACGCGTATATGAACGGTCCATTGACCGGGCTTAGGGTTCGATGTTATCGCGCACGCATACCGTTACGTGCCAAGGACGGATACAGTTTATTTTTCTATTATTGTTATTTATAAACAGATAGAATGGTTGTATAGGTCAAATTTCCAGTAGATAATAAATGATGCACAGTAAGTTCACATAGAAGTGTAATATTGAAACTGGGATTCACGCATATGGTGTCATGCAGCTGGACGGGGAGCTGTGTCGGCACTGCATTACGACTTTCTAATCAACCGTGATAATAATCACAATATTTTGGGTAGTTGGAATATGATGCATTAGTGCTACCAAAGAATGTATCATTTATGAGCAGCCCACATTGGGCAAAAAAACCCAGTAATCTGTCAAACTGTTATGTTGTGTGTTGTGTAGGCTATAGTGGGGTAGCCCATATGGGGTACAACCCAATTAGGGTTAATACTTGTACCCACCTTGTTTCTAGTTCATTCATTCTCGCTTACTCTGTTGACATGGTTTCAGAGCAAGTCCTCTCCTAGGACCGTTTTTTTTTAGGGCCCAAGGTATAGCTCGCTGCCCGTATCGCGCTACCCCACCCGTCACGCCGCACTGCTGGCCTCGCGCTGCCCTGCCCTACCCGTCGCGCCGCGCTGCCCTGCCCCGCGTCGCGCCGCCCGCGCGCGCCCTGGCCCGCGTCGCGCCGCCCACGCACGCCCTGCCTTGCATCGCGCCGCCCGCGCATGCCCTACCCGCGCGCTGCTCGCCGCTGCGCCGCCCTGCCCTGCCCTCGCGCCGCTCGCCGCCGCGCGCCGCCCTGCCCTGCCCGCGCACCGCTCGCCGCCGCGCCGCCCTGCCCTGCCCGCACGCTGCTTGTCGCCGCGCCGCCCTGCCCTGCCCGCGCGCCGCTCGCCGCCGCGCCGCCCTTCCCTGCCCGCGCACCGCTCGCCGCCGCGCCGCCCTGCCCTGCTCGCGTGCCGCCCTGCTGGCTGCCGCCCTGCCTTGCCCTGCCTGCGCGCCGCCCTGCTGGCCGCCGCCCGGCCCTGCCCTGCCTGCGCGCCGCCCTGCTGGGGTACAGCACTTCTAGGGTTAGTACTTGTACCCCAACTCTTGCTAATCCAATCATTCCTGCACAGTTATTCTGACATGAATGTGTGGCAGGTACCCTAGATATAAACAAGGCCATGAACAGGGTATGAGAAGGATGGCTTGACCCTACCTTGGTATGAATTCAACGTGGCGCTGGCATTGCTAAATGTTTGCGCGAAAGGCGGAGCGGAACGGCGACGATCAGGTAGAGATGGTGCGTGTAAGAATAATGAACGAGAATGGATGAACTAGCAGCAAGATGGGTACAAGTAGGAAACCCTAATTGGGTTGTACTCCATGTGGGCTACCCCACTATAGCCTACACAATAAGCAGCATATAAGTTTGACACACCCCCATAGGCAAAGTGGGGGTAAACAAGAGGTCACAAGACCAGTCAAGAAAAGCAAAGCAAGCTCAGGGTGGATCACGAAGTCACCACGCATTCTGAGCACAAGCAAATGGTCACAAGGCCAGTTCACATGCAGAGTTATGTAAAAGAGAACAAGCAGTACAGTGATCACAACCTAGCAAGTGTAAGCATGCAGGTATAAGTATATAGATCACAGTACAAGCAAAGTCAAGAAGTGAGCAAGTGAGGTCAAGTAGGCACAAGGCCTAGAACAGTACAGAACGCTGATGATCACAAGGCTGAAGTGCCTTGGTGAAGATATCAGCAGTGTTGGCCCAAGAGGCCACGTAAGCAAGACGAAGCTGACCACGCTGCTGCAACTCTCGAGCAAGGAAGTAGCGCAGAGCAATGTGCGTCGTTCTGTGCTCCAGTCTATGCTCTTGACACAAGGCAATCATGGCCTTGTTGTCAACGTACAGAACTGGAGGAGAACGAGGCGGCTCTCCCAAGTCGGTCAGCAGGTAGGTGAGCCAGCGTAACTCCTGTGCAGCCATGGCCCCTGCGTAGATCTCAGCCTCACAACTGGAACTGAGAACAGAAGACGAGCGGGTAGACCGCCAAGAAACAGAGCTGGAGCCAAGGCTGAAGGTGTAACCCTGTGACGACCGCTGCGTAGCCAAGTCGTCAACCCAAGAAGCGTATGCGTGACCAGTGAGGACAACTCGAGCCCGTCCTCCAAGCACGAGCCCCATGCCCGACGTACTGCACAAGTAGCGCATCACCCTCTTAGCGGCCTCCCAGTGCTCTGGTCGGTGTCTCCCGGGCGCAACGTAGCGTTCCAGGATGCTAAGAGGGTAAGCAAGGCCAGGTCGAGTGCAGGTCATCAGGTACATGAGGCAGCCCACAAGCTCTGGATACGGGCCACTCGGCTCTACGGACTCATCTGAAGGCAGAGCTGAGAGCGAGTGACCGGTAGGCAGAGGAGTGGACTGTGGCGAGGAGTACGTGAAGCGAAAGCGCTCAAGGTAATGGTGCGCTGTGCTCTGTCCCGGGTGATCTGCAAGCCAGGATAGCTGCGCAACTCACCCAGGTCTGTGCACGTGTGTCTCCTCTGCAGCTCCGACTTCACAAAGGCCAGTCCGGCAGTGTCAGCAGTGGCAAAGACCAAGTCGTCGACGTACACGGGGATGTAGAACGGCGGCAAAGAAGTGTCAGTGCGTAGAAACATCGACGGGTCAGCAGTCAAAGGAGCAAACCCAAGAGCCGCAAGCGTCGTCCTCAGTGTGTCGTCCCACTCGCAAGGTGCCTGGCAGAGACCGTAGACTGGCCGCCGGAGGCTCCACTGGGAACCTGCAGGAAACGACCCAGTGAAGCCAAGTGGGCGGCGCAGCCAGATCTCCTCGTGCAGGCTGCCCTATAGGAAGGCTGTGCTGAAGTCAAGAGAGTGAAGCTCGTAGTCACGCTGTGCGGCGACGTGCAGCAGCACCCGAAGAGTGGTCATCTTCGGGGTAGGGGAGAAGGTCTGGAAGAAGTCAACTCCCTGTCGCTGACTGAAGCCTCGAGCAACGTAACGCGCCTTGAAGACAGGCGGAGAACCCGGCGGCCGCTTCACCCTAAAAATCCACATGCCACTGACGATGTTCGCCCCAGGTGGGGGAACCTCGTCGACGTAGGTGCCTGTGGACTTCCAGGAAGCCATCTCTGCGTCCATAGCTATCTGCCAGTGAGAGGAGTAGGGACCCGTAATCGCCTCTGCGTAAGAGCGCGGGGTCGGGATGTCTGGTGCATCCAGGTCTCCCTCAGGTGCAATCAACATGGACACGAGATGAGGTAAAGCAGCTGCAAAACACTCAAAGTTCTCCTGCCTGT